CAGTTTGACTTCTATACCTAATCGATAGTTCTTCTTGCTTCAGTTCCCTATGAGATTGATTTAACAGAACTTTTTGCTACATAGAAATGCCCTACAAGAGAAAGTAATGGGAAATGTTAATGCGAATGGACAGGGGAGATATTTAACGGAACAAGCAAGAGCTTACTTGCTAAAGGAATGTTTACCGAAGGGCATAGCCCTATATATGTATACTACTGCCAGCCTTTCACTCCTCAAGTCAGGAACCAAACTACGGATGAGCACTATTTATCATTTGCAAGAAATTCTCCAGCGCGAGGCTCCTATTTACTTTACTCCCCGAGGCTTAGCGCAGGCAAATCCCGAGCAAGTATTAGTTTTGACTATCTATAGCAGCAAAGAGTTCACATCTGGTCAGTCTTTTTGAAAACTTTGACTGTTAGGAGGATATTGGGATCCCTCAACTCTGTATTTTTCTCTTTCATCTTTAATCCCATGACATTAAAGACTACATTATTCATGAGACAGTCTTAGTGATTGAATCTTGACTCGCCCTTTGGGCATTCACCCTAGTAGCTTTGGTCGGACCACCTTCAGCAGGTTTTGATTTGCCTTTTCTTTTGCCCTTCTGTCCTCCCCCTTGATTCATAGATAGAGCTTTTCTCTTTCCACTCCTCATTTTCTTTCACCAAAACTGCCCTCCTCACACTTATTGAATGAACTTTTTCTATGAAATATCTCTTTATGAAAATTTGCCTATGCATCAACTAAACTACCCTGGAAGAATCCTTAGTCAATGTACCATAAGGTTTTTCCTTTCCAATCTGGTTCATGGGCTAGGTTCCCTCAGCTCCTTGCAGTAATTCTTCACCGAATTCGTCCACTTCATGAGTGTCTTCCTCTGTCTGCAGAGAAGCAAATCGATTAGAAGCTGAAGGACAGCCTATAGTTTCCAACGAAGACTGGACTGCAGTATCTTGATCTGGGCATTCCTGTCAGTGGTTTTTATTGACTTCTTGCCACTGCTAGAACGATTGAGTTCTTCTAATGTTTGGCTTTCTTCACCCCTAACATCAGTGCAGATTCTTGTGTCCCCATGGCCTTTTTTTTGGTTTTTGTTGCAAGATAACCCTAGAGAGGGCAGGGGGCTAACGTCCTTTTATCTGTCTATCGGTTCAGTGGTTGGTTAGCTCTCTGGCTCCTGAATTGAGGAGTATCCGAGTTCAGGAGTGACTAGCGAAGTAGAATAACATATAGTATAAGTATAATAAAGGAATGAAAGCCGGGGTCGGCGAAAAAGAATAAGTGGATCAATTTTTCAGATACTAACTTTGTCTTTTCTCATCTGCCATCCTTTGGGCTGTCTATCGTCAACCCCTTGACTGGTAATACACAACCTAAAAGAAAAGGGGGATTTAGTCCTAAAATCCACTCCAGGGCTAGACTCCATCCTATCTTTATCCCCTGCCTTCCATTTATAAACCAAATACTGGCAGGCATAAAAAAAATCTAATGTTTTTTGTCTCATACCCCCTTCCTTAAACGACCTGTTCAACGCACGCTACGGACTGCTATTGTCCCCTTGTCACGGAGATTTTTTTTAGGGCTAGAGCAGAGCTTCTCACTTATTCAACCGAGCATCTTTAGGCTGGAGATTGCTGTTCAGCTGTTCCCCGGTTTTGAAGCTCGCTAGCTGCCGTGTGAACCTCTTCTGGGCAACTGTTAAAGCTCCTGGTCTCGAAACGGCCAGCTTTAGTTCAGCTCTCGGGGCCACCTCACACACTAAAAAAATCGTAAGCTTCCTTTCCCACCCCCTTCACGCAACTTCTCGCATAAGTAAGGGCTTTGCTCGAATGTCGCGTTCCCAGGGCCTTCTTCAATAGGTATGATCCCATCCTTCCAAAAGAAGAGAGCTAGGTAGGTTATAGGCCAGCTTTAGAATGAAAATCTTCGACAGAGATCGTTCCTTCAGTTTAGCAATCAATTAGATCCCGACTGACTTAGCTTGAAGCATGGCTTGCTGTTTTGGGGCTCGATGCTACTCTTGGGAACATTGATACATCGACTTTCAAGCATCTCGTAGTTGAGCGGTACTGCCATCAACATTTCCAACATGGACAAGGACTGCTGAACATGGATAGAACGAGAGTTGAACTCCTATCTCTCTCTTTTCCTGTTAGTTAGGAAAGAAAGACAGAAACAAACCTATCTTCATAGACCATAAAACATATCTTTTGACACCAATTACTGGAACATGGATCCCTTTCGATACACGATGCTGCCTTCCATTCTTTGTTCGTTCTTTTGGGATCTTATTTGATCAGGAATGGGACTAAGAGAGCTAGCCCTGATTCCATCTTCATTGACCGAGTAGCTGGACAAAGAACAAAGGAACGGGACCAATCTCACCAATGGGGAGAAGACTTGCTGTCATCCCAAAAAGTAATCAAGGGGCGGAACAGAGCATTCAAGATCGAAAGAAGTTTATGATCGCTTACCATCACGTGAGAGGCTATCGACACCATTAAAAGATAGATTTATGGGAAGATCGAAACTTCCATAGCCTGAACTTTTCAAGTCTGATCCTCTTGAATACAGTCCATCGCCCCTAATCTAATAAGGTAAGGCGGAATAAGCACTTTCGGAACCTAGCAAAAAGAGTTGTAAGGAGGTCGAATAGCCTGTCTTCAAGAATGCTGTTCGCTACCCTCCCATTCATCAACATATAGGCTTACCGGGGCAGATGCTTCTCACATTCATCACGCGTCCATCGGGGTCTGTAACTCGATTTTCACGTCTATAGAGGTGCCCTTATGTTATTGTCTTTCGATCATTCGGTTTAGTTCTTCATCGAACCTATGATTTCAGGGATCGCTCCACTCCGATTGTGTTACTGATTCCATTGTCGAAGAACAATCAAGTCGTTTCCCTAAATCTGCCTGTAGTTGTCCAATAAGAGCTTTATCCCCGGGGATGAAGTCAACTTGCTACTGATTGAGCATGAAGACAGTCTGCTTTGAACATGAATGAGACGTGCTATTAGAGAAGGGATAAATTGTTGTTTGTTCAAGCTACCACTAATGTGAACATGTGAATGAACATATGAACATGTTACACGCGTATATATGACACATGTGTAGTATCAGGGTTGTCAACGAGAGAAGGCTTCTTGGTTATAGAAGGGGGTAGCCGGATTAGCTTCTAGAGACTCGGCCTCTGTTCTCGTGAGCTGGGTTTCATTTAATAGATAAGGCTAAGTGTTAATAGATCAGTTCGGTCTCTGAGACCGCCGAGTAGTCATAGGTAAGTAGCAGCTATCTTCGACCGAGCGTGCTGGCTTTCCTACTATATGTAGAGATCTCTCAGTGGCTTGGTTCTCGTGGAGCTAAGCTAAAAGTCGGTTGTTGGGTCTCTCAAATAAAAGGCGGGCTTAACGGGGCAGGACACCTTATCAGACGGGGTTGGCTTGAAGGCTTGGAAACTTTATTTGATTGGCGGGGTTACCGCACTTCTCCTTCCAAGAAAGAAAAGGGAAATAGTGAATCTTTTCATACTGAGATTGGTAAACCCGACACCAATTGATGGAATGAGATGAGGTCCTACCTTTAATTGTTACCTTAGCCCGGTAAACCCGAAAAGCTGGTGGAAAAAAACGTCCGAGCACCCCGAATTATATACAGTCTGACGATCACCTCATATTGAGAAAAAGTCTCGAGATTGAAATGGGACAGCAGGATCCCTTAACTCTTATGTTCTGTGTGTAGCTTTAACACAGAACTTCGATTTCCATTTATTAATTTAGTCAATCCAGCCCAGCAGTTAACTAAAAACAGAGTTAACATAACCAACTTGAACATCGTTCCGAGAAAACCCATCAGACGAACGATCCAAAGCAACTAGTAGGGGAGAGTGGACCTTATCCCATTACTTCCTCTCGTCTGGAATGGAGGGACGGGCAAGCTGACAACCTTGTGGAGCTAGAAGCACCATTAAAGTCACACTCTACTTCTTCCCGAGTCCTTCTTACAACCTAGGTTTCACTTTCTATCTAGCCTCAGCTCGACGACTAGAAGTAAGATTCCATCAGCTATTTACATAGCCTTGTTGTTTTATTTTCCAGAAACTAAAGGAGCAAGATCTAGCTACAAAAAGATCCAATCTAAGACTCTCTTTTCCTTCCTTATCCACTAGAACTTTAGGAAAGCTTGGAAGCTACTTGCAGTGAATGAAGGAATGCCTTCTTAGGCCGTAAGCTCATTGGTTTAAGAGCTACTCCGCTTCTCGCTAACAGCCCTATTCGCTTAGCTAATTGACTCGGGTATTCCCATTGCTTCAGGTATTTGATTACAAAACCAACCGTTGCCACACATCTAGCTACAAAGAAAGATAAAATACATTTATTGGTTCACGCACCTTCTGTCATTTCACTTCACTACCAGCGCAGTTGCAGTCCAATTCTCTTTCTCTATCTCCGAATTCTCTGTTTCACTCACCACCTACCTATCTTTCGAGCATACCTTTCTCCTTTCAACCAATGCCATTCACACCATACCCAGTCCAAAAGACTCTCCAGCCCCTTGGAACAATCCATCCAAGTTCAAACCCTTTCCGCTCTGACAAAATTCTTCCAAACCTTTACAAACAGAGAAAGATTGATACCTCAGGCCCGTCCTCAGGGCCTTCCTCTCCAGTTGAAAACATTGCTACCCAATAAACAACTTCTAAATAAAAGAGAAGCCTCATCTTTTCCCTGTCCATGCCCAAAATCCTATTTCCTCTTTCCTCCATAACCTTACTAATACTACCTCGCCTGGAATTCTCCCAGTAAGCTGATCAGACATAGCCCTGGACTTCCCTTCACTACCAACCCCTCCCCTTAAGATTCCTCACCGCCTGGGTATGAAGATCCCTCACTGCCTGGTTATGTTTGCAAGTTGCAGAAAGCATTGTATGGTCTTAAACAGGCATCACGCGCTTGGTATGATAAGTTTTATAGCTTTCTAATCAGTAAAGGCTTTCTTATGAGCTGTAGTGATTCCTCGTTATTTATTCAAACTAACAGTTTGCGAACTACAATTCTTGCGGTTTATGTGGATGATATTATTATAACTGGCAGTGATACCTCTTATATCTCCACTCTAATCACTGAATTAAGTGCTCAGTTTGCTATAAAGAACCTCGGGAACTTGAACTATTTTCTTGGCATTGAGGTACTCAAGACAAGAATGATCGTGGACTGTTTTTAACACAGCAAAAATATGCGTTGGATCTCCTCCAGAGAGCTGCTATGCTGAATTGTAAGCCCTGCTCTTCTCCAATTAACTTGAAAGTCCTTTGCTGCAGTTTCTTCTACTCCATTTCATAATCCATCTCTGTACAGAAGCATCGTTGGAGCCCTGCAGTATATAACTATTACAAGACCTGATTTGGCCTTTGCTGTTAACTCTGTTTGTCAACACATGCAATCTCCTACAAATGACCACTTTACTGCAGTAAAACGTATCTTGCCTTATCTCAAAAGGACTGTTACACTTGGTATTCAGTTCACTAGAGGACCTTTCACTCTTACTGCCTATTCAGACGCTGATTGGGCAGGTGATACTTGTGATCGTCGGTCGGTTAGTGGTGACCCGGAAAGATGAATAGAACCGAACTAGCAACAAGAATGGCCAATGGGAGTTTTTGAAGAGAACCCATGATTCTTCAGATGACAAAGAAAGCGTTGATTTGGGATCTAATTTCAATTGTATCAGTCATTACATGCAAACGGTATATGTGACATGAGAAAGTATCCTCAATCAATCTAATCTATGAGGTAATGTGTTACGGTCTCACTACCCTGGAAATTCAAAAGGAAACTCTATCCTCAACCCCTGAAATCCTTTCTTTGAAATGGACTTGGTAATTGGCTTTTGGACTAGTTGGAAAATAGGCTTCCAGGATCCTTCTCTTCTTATGTGTTCTAACTTCCTCCCTCGCCCACTGGCCAAGGAGCTAGCAGTATAGCGCGTCATACACCGATGCTTCTACCGCGCCGTGCGCGCTAAACACACACAAAGCTTCACGCAAGACCGCGCGCTGTACGCGAAAGCTTGAGGGCTTAGAGTTCGGTAAACTTTATCTTATATAATAGATTATATTCATTCTATAATCTATAATATAAGGTCAACTTGGGCATTTTCTCTCATTATATCGCCCGATAAGGCAATGCCCATGAACGGTTTCGAAGTAGCGATATAACGAAAAAAAACTGCATACGAATCGATGTATTGATGTACGCTCCTCCCGATATTGCTTCATCTAACCCCATTCACTACCCATGATGACAGGACCCCCTCGGCCAAGGAACCGACCCGAAAAGAGCGATTCCTATCCCTGGATATCTACCACCTCTTACAAATCAAAATGGGCTAGCTAAGGAGCTGCCCCAAATCAAGTAGACCGAGTGCTACCCCTGTCCACCGACCCTGGCTCAAACCTTTACGTACAGCCTTTCCTGGAGCCTAGCTTGACAGAAAAACACAGAAATGTGTACCTACACGTTTTATATCTATTTCTGCTTTCTTGCTCCTGCAATAATAAATAGAGGGGACCTCTCATTCTACGAGATAAATCGAATAGCCCAGCCCTCTCAAATTCAAAAAAGAACCACTTCTCAACAATCCTCCTTTCATGCCTCACCCCAAAGACATCCACACCTCTGTTAGGAGATTCTAATAGGACTATTGTCTAAGAGTCACAACGATGTGGAACTTCTATTCTATAGAATATTATTTTGCGCTGAGCGAGGCTGGTTTCCCTCCTCACTCACTAGTAAGCGGTTTCAACTCTCCCTTGAATCCGTTCACTCGTGTCCCTTACCAAAGGGCCACTTCGTTCACTTGTCTTTAGGCACTCCAAAGGCATAAGAAAGCATATAAGATAGGCTGATCACCAATTCAACTACCAGAGGCTTCTAGAATGCGTTATTTGGTACTTTAAGCCAATCAACGTAGGATCGGCGAAGAAATTGATACAGAACAATGGCCTGTGCCTTCGTTTCACTCGTATATCCATGGCAAGTCCCTGATGAACTTCTCACTCTCCTCGGGAGTTATCTCCTTGACTACACCCTCTCGGCTTTGTTACCCAGACACTCATCCTGAGCAATCTCTTCCGGTTCAGCAGTGTCCAGATCTGGCATCGTTGCCTCTTCTTGTTCAGGGTCCTCTAGAACCGCAAAACGGCTCGGGCTGACTAGGTCCAGTTGGGTCATTCCACTAGCACAACTAGTGTCCAGCTCCCCCCCTTGCCATTGTCATTACTGGTACCTGATCCCGTCGGCTCGACATTTTTGCAAACACCGACCCTTACTCAATAGGGCAATTCAAAGAGGAGAACGAGGACAGCTGACTACCGCTAAAAGTCAGACTACGAGTACACATTGTATGATTGAAAACTGCCACTGCATACTACCCGGTGCTTGCAGGTCTGACTGGTGCCTTCTCTCGCTGCTTCAATCAATGTAAAGTCTGACTACGAGGCTTCGCTAACTACTTATTGAAAAACCAAACAGGAATTGAAAAGTCGTACTACAACAACTGTAAACATTCCCTCCCCACTCGGACGGACTTTGATTGACTTGCCCGCACTGCGTCTTTTTTGAGAGAAGAGGTCAACGAGAGGGCTAAGATGGCGTATAGACGGCCAATGGGTGACATCAGGGTTGTCCTAGAGAAGGGTAAGCTCTCTCTTAATCGGGCATAGGATCCGGCTATTTCAATAGATTAGTCCCTCAATCATGCACTTAAGATGTTGTCTCTCCCGATGTTCACTAAGACAGAGACTCAGACTTATGTTGTTCCTTATTCCAGTCCTTACTACATAAAGGAAAGATAGATCTATGAAGTAAGAGGATTTCGTGTCTAAGTTTCCAATAACTCTCAAGGAGTTTATGCCACCTGAGTTAATGGACATCCCAGGCATTGAAAGCCTGTCATGTCAGGTAATTCAAGTGCTTGATGACTCGGCATATCCAAGTCACATAGCACCTACTCTCCCCATAGATGAGTAATGGGAAGCTTTCAAGCAGAGACAAAGCACTCACTAAGTTACTTACGGAATCTTAAAGAGTCGTCCAAGAGCACTTCGTTCGACTTGCATGTTAAATATCTGACTTGTATCAGGACGGGTTCACTCTTTCTATAGCAGAAGATCAAGTTACACACACATCTACTTATATAAGAATATACTTCATAAGAGTGGAACTGAGTTCCGCTAACCGCTTCTTGCTAACAAAGCTGTCCAATTAAATGAATGTGTTTGCGTCCTCTCTTCTTAGTCTACGATTATCCCTCCTCTTCCAAGGAGGGGCTATTCATATTAGACTACGGCGCTTTCCATGCTCTGCCTTTAGGCCCTTCCACTACTAACCTCTTAATGTCGGGAGATCCGGGGTTGCCACTTAGCCCCCGCTTCAGTTACATAATTAGTATAGTGGGAAGCTACCCGCCTCGCCTTAAAGAGTTAAAAGCACACCGAACCCTATCCCTTTTTCCTAGATAAAAGTCAATCAATAGGGCTAGTAAGAGATGCGTCCCATTATAGGTAAACTCGAGAAATTTGTGCTGGTTCACTGGCAGTATTAACTGAGACTATAATTGGTTCGAATGCTTACAAAACAATAACCACTAAAACTTGAGTAAGGGGTGAGTGTCTCGGTCAGGAGTGCTGAATCAACTTAAAAATAAACCCTGGCTACTCCTGGACGAAATGCTGCGACGGATTCATTGACTGGTTTCAGATAAACAACTGAATCCGCTACTCTTAGTTAGCTGCATCTCGAACTGCGTTTCTAGTGGTTGGCGATGTTGTTACGTTAAAACAGGTTCTTCTATTGAAGAAACATAATCTCTATCTGGAACTCAATCTACTATTGGTTATAAAACTCGGCCACCACTAGCTCTGCTTTCGTCCCTGCCCCCGCTCCTGGATGAACCATCAAAGTACATTTCCCAGGGGAACGGAACTTTAGCATATAAAACTTCTTCATCAGGTAGCTCATCTAACAAAGGAGTGTCATCTGAAGCTGGATGAGCTGCCAAGAAATCAACTAACGCTTGTCCTTTGCCTCACAACATTAGGGAAACATCATAGACCATTTTTGATAATCCATAACCTTTTGGTACTTATCTTTTAAGAAAGGCTCGAAAGCAAATACTTGAGCGGATCTGCTTTCGATATAAGCCGAACGGTATGTTCCCGGGGATAGTGTCTGAGCTTTTGTACTGCAAACACAAATGCCAGGTATATCTTTTCCATGTTTGAGTAATTTTACTCTAAGCCTGCCAGGGTACACCTTTTTTAGTATTGAGCTACTTAAGAATTTTGTTGTGCAAGAAGAGCTCCTAGCGAACCAGGGCAAGTAACAAAGCGAACGGAGTAACTGACGTTTTTAACTCGTAGAGCTGGCGTTGAATCTTCACAAGTTCAATAAACCCCACGTCTTTTTGGCGTAAATTGCTACTTTTTGCTGTAATTGGTTAGCCGACTCCTAAATCAAGTAGTTTAAAAGCCTGGAACAGGCAGGATTCAATCAGGCACTGTTTCCAATGACTACTTCGCGCAATTAAGCGCTATAGGTTTTCTAACTATAACTGTCAGTGTAATCCGTGTAGTCAGATAGTCCTGAGGTAGCCACAGGCTACCGACCTTTACAATTACATTTCCTCCGTTGGGAATGAAACTAGATCTTATGATTCAACTCGGTTTACGCTTTTTTCTGTTACGTCAAGTTGCTCAATTTCATATCCTGAACCTCAGGCCCCCTTTACTATTAAGGGCGCAGGAGCGCCCCTAGATGGTTAGGGGTTTTCTACACTAGGTGGGGAAGAACAAACTTGAAATCCATACATAGGAGTGTGTGAGAGCCTCCCACTCAACCCAGCAAGCAAAAGGCGGAGGCGTATTATCAGTAGCAGCTCCCCGCACGAGTAGTTCAATAAGTACCTGTAGTTCACCCAGTTTCCGTATCAGTAGAAGAACCGTTGATACGATTGACTAAGCAGTTGAAAAGTCCGTCCAGTCGGTGCTAGTCGATGCTATTGATTGACCTTCCCCCTCCAGCAGGTGCATAAGCAACCGATCCAGTACTGGTAAATCCAATAGTCTATCCTTAGAATTCCGTCCCGTCAGCATCCATTCACTCGGTTGAGTAAGTGGGCCGGTCGGTCCCGCGTGACCGTGATAGGGATTCAGAAGGAGACATACATATTTGTATGACCACACGATGCACCTAGCTCCGCTGCTCTCCTCGCCCCTGGGACTGGTTCACGGTAAGCTACTGCCTCTACCGGTGCTCCTGCTCCTGCCCCCTCCTCCACGTGATGCGCACGTGATGACACACAGGTAGTTGGTTGTTCCCATCCTCGCCCGAGGGAGATAGAGATAGAACTTTAGCGATCCAGCATTCCCCCTCTCCTCCTTCGATCTAGTCGTCCCCGGTCGAGATCACCAAAAATGCCTTAGCAGATACATTTCAAGATCGAGTTCGCCAGTCCGTCCTAATAGTTCGAGGGCCGTGAGAAGCATAGCTAGCATCCCAAAGGGAGTAGAAAGATCGTGCTTTGAGGCTCGCTCTAGATCGGATGGTTCCATGGGTCCT